CCATCTGCCACCGCCTAATGCACTGATTCAGCTCCGGGGACCAGCTTGGACGAGGGAGGGGGCGGCAGGCGGGGAGGGGATGACCTGGGGGTGGGGAGCAGAGCGCTGGTTACAGAGTTCTCTGAGCCCCTCCCCCAGATGCCAATGACATAGCTGTGGGGACAGGTGTCCCCGGGCCCCCGCCTCCAGTTAGGACCCCTCACTACCCAGGGCCCAGTGCTAAATGAAATGCCGGGCCCTTTGTTTAGATTTTATTCAGAATTTCAAGACAGTGGCCACAGAGCACTATCCAAGTGCGGGGACCTCTTAGGTGTGGGGCCCCGTGCGACTGTGTGAGCTGCACACCTGCAAAGCTGGTTCTGCTGTCCTCTGCCTGCTCCTGGACCCTCACACCAGGATGAAGTCTGCTCTAGGTCCCCACAGCCCCTGTGCTCATTTCCATTCCGTCTCATCCTTGCTGTGTACCCCGTCTCCCCGGCAGGCCCCGCCCTCTCCGAGGGCCCAGCTGTAACCATTGCCTCGTGTGGTGCCTGGGACACAGGAAGGCGGACGTGTTTGCTAAATCAACGGTGACAGAGGAAACATCGGCTTCGAAAACCGTGGCTCTCCACTTCACAGCCACAAGGAGGGCTAGAATGAAAAAAAATCAATAAAAACAGAAAATAACAAGTGCTGGTGAGGATATGGAGAAACTGAGACCCTAATACTTTGCCGGTGGGAATGCAAATGGTGCAGTGGCTGTGGAGAGCAGCTCGGTCCTCAAAATGTTCAACGGAGTTTCTATCTGACCCGGCGATTTGTCCTCTCGGGGTACATCCAGAAGAATGGAAACGGACATCCGGACAAAGCACGCATGTTCATGGCGGCGCCGGTCATCATAACCGAAAGGCGGAGGTGATCCGAGCGTCCATCAACGGATGACGGACAAACAGAACGGGGTCCGTCCCCACAGTGGAATATTACTCAGCCCTGAAAAGGAACGAAGCTCCGACACGCGCTACAACATGGACGAATTGGACGAACCCTGAAAACGTGACTCTGGGCAAAAAAAGCCAGATGTGAAAGGAGACACGGTGTATGATTCCACTGGTGTGACGTGTCCAGAACAGGCGAATGATGGGGACAGGAAGCAGACGGGTAGTGGCCAGGGGCCGGGAGAGCAGGGACTGGAGGGTGGCTGTTAACGGGTACAGGATTTTTGGGGGGGATGATGAAAATGTCCTGGAACTGGATAATGGTGATCGTTGTACCACACTGTGAATGAACTAAATGTCACTAATGGTAAATTTTATGCTTTGTGTATTTTATCATGATAAAAACAAGGGCTACCACAGATTACCTTAAATAAATTAATAACAAAGTAAATAATTAAAAAAAAGAGTCTACGGCCAAGCCACTCTGAACGTGCCCGATCTCGGCTGATCTCGGAAGCTAAGCAGGGTCGGGCCTGGTGAGTACTTGGATGGGAGACCACCTAGGAAGACCAGGTGCTGTAGGCATAAAAAAAAAAACAACTCATATCCTTAAATGCAGCATGGTTCCCTGAGTCCCTGAGTTGGCTCCCAAACAGGAAAAAAACAGTAGAAAAACGAATGAGCTACAACAAAAGCTTGGCGTCCCATCGCCAGTGATTGAGAGCGTTGGCTTCTTAGTTGTGACAAATGCACCAAGGTCAAGCGAGATGCTAACACAAGGTCGGGCCAGGCGAGGGACTGTATCATCACTGCAACATTTCTGTGAATCTAAAATTACTCCAAAATAAAAAAATCTATTAAAAAAAATCATATCTGCCTTCTAAAGAGGGGCTAGCCTGGTCTCTGGAACCACTTTGGGTTCGGGTTTGCAAATTGGGGGACTGGGAGAAGCGCCTGGCGTTCCCAGCCTGGGAGGGGAGGGGCGAAGAGCACAGGTGAGCAGATGGGGGCAGGGCAGAGGCGCCTGGGCTGGAGTGGGGTTGAGCTGGGGGACCCCCCCAACACGAATGTCCAACACACAGGTTGCTAACTGGTGGCACACGGGCTGAACGCTGCTTAGAGACGCTTTTTACTGACCCTCGGTTTTGCAGAAATAATTCGAGCTAGTCTATAAAAAGCGGTTGATCTCACATTGAAACTAGAATTTCCAACTTCTCTAAAAATGTCTGAAGAGCTGCTAAACCCCCATTTCTGCATGGCCCCAAGGGGCTGGAGACAAGTCCCAGCCACCCGCTCCAAACCGAGCTCTCCCGTTTGCCACGGCCCCCACTGTCACCACCCCCGACTGTCACAGATTGCTGACACCGAGCCTCGCTTGCCAGTGATCCTCAAGCTTGCACCATACTCTGTTTTGGGAACGGAAAGATCTCTCTGCACCACGTTGAAAGTGAAAAAGCCAAAGAGAGACCCAGAGCGCTGTCTGATTTTTCTAGCCCCCGGCTGGCCACGCTCATACCTGCCTGGTTCTGGAGGCACTTCCGTTTGAGAACGCAGGTCTAATATGTGATCTGCAGCCTTTGCTGCAACGTCAATACGCCCTCCCCCACCCACGCCCTTCGACCTTCCCTCCCACAAGTGTCCGTGGTGGGGGTCACACACACACACACGCTTCCTGGGTGCGGATCCTGGTTCTATCCCTTGCTGGCTGAGTGGTCTTGGGCAAGTCACGCAACCTCTCTGTGCCTCATTTCCTCATCTGTAAAGTGGGCATGACATCGTATGCACCTTTCAGGAGTTTTATGAGGATTCAGTGACACAGTTCATGCGAAGGATGTGGGCCTGGGCTTGGAACGGAGCAAACAAGGCAGAGGACACATCAGGGGGTGACGAGTGCTGTGACGATGACAGATAAGGGTGACTGGGCGGAACCCAACATTCGGGACTTGTCAAGGAGGAGGGGACGTGTGAGCTGAGAGGGAAATGGGCAGGAAGTGGCCGGGACCAGGCGGACGGAAAGGCTCGTCAGGCAGAAGGAACAGCCGGCACAGATGTTCAGAGGCAAGAAGGGGCCTGGCTGGCTCGAGGACCAGGGGAAGAAGGCCGGGGTGGCTGAAGCGGAGCAGCTCAGAATGAAGACCGAGGCCGAGACGGAGGCCGGGGCCCCGCGGCCGTGGGAGGTGTTTGGATTTGCTGCGCTGAGATGCTGGGCGAGGGTTTTCAGCGGCCAGAGGAGGCATCTGATTAACAAGACAGCACATGAGCCTGGCGGCCGGCCCACCCAGCCAGTCTTGACTCTCAGTCCCGCAAGGCCCTTTCCGACCAGCCTGACTCGAGCCGGGCCCTCTGGCCCTCTAAGCGTTTAATCCCCCACCCCAAAACCAAGCGGGAAGTCTGGAGGTGGCCCTCAGCCAAGCCAGTGGCCCCGGAGATGGTGGGACCGAGGGATGCAAAGCCATGTGGTCGGAAGCTGCAAATGACCCCTGAAAAAAGATCTGTGACAACCTGCGAATGTGACCTGATTTGGAGAAAGTGTCTTTTCTAATGGGATTCAGGATCTCGGGACGAGATCGGCTCATCCTGGATTATCCACGTGGGCCCCAAAGCGAATGACGCACGTCCTCGGAGGAGAGGCAGAGGGAGATCCAGACAGACATGCAGAGGACAAGGCCGCGGACCACGGAGGCCGGGACTGGAGCGAGGCCACCATCAGCCAGCCGAGGGACTCCAGAAGCCTCCAGAAGCCTCCAGAAGCCTCTAGAAGCCTCCAGAAGCCAGACAGCAAGGCAGGCTCCTCCGCAGAGCCTTGGGAGGGAGCGTGGGCCTGCACGTCTCCGGTCGGAGTTCTGGCCTCTAGAACCGAGAAGAGTTTTAAGCCACTCGGTGTGTGGCCATTTGTTATGGTGGCCCCAGCAACTAAGACCCCCTCCTCCCAAGGGCCCCCACCTCCCCAAGCAGGTCGGATCTCGCCTCCTGTCCTCTTTGACAGGTGAGAACAGAGGCCCAGAGAAGGGAAGGTAAACGGGGAGCCTTGGTTTTCCTCCTGGCTGAGTGCAGCTAACTCACGCATTCTGTTGGGTTTTCACAGCGTTTGCAATTATTATTATTTTATATTTTACGTTATGGAATAGTGCAAGCATAGCAAGAGTCCAGATAACACGATGCCCCACAACCTTCTCGTTCCCTACTTTTGAGGGTTCGGCCTGTGGGGTCTCGGCTGTGTGACACAGGACAAATCAACGAACCTCTCTGAGCTCTGGATGCCTCATTTCCAAAGTGCGGAGAACACCAGCTGCTGTGAGGACGAAATGAAAATGGCGGCTGAGGACCCGGTGCCTCTCATGGTCCACGTGGAACCCCAGCCTGGGCCTGAGCACCGTCTGGCGTGGGGCCCACAGTTCCAAGGCTCCTAATGGCGTCTTCGGGGAGGGCGGGGGGCAGGGAGCTAGAGAGTCCCGGATAGATGAGATGCTCAGGGCAGGTCCAAGCCCTGAGGGGAAGCAGGGGAACCAGCTGGCCACCGTCTTAGGTGTCGGTTTATTGGGCAGGGAAATGGGTACGGGGCTGACGCTGAGCTGGCATATGCCTGTGACTGACCTGTAGTTGAAATACTGAAATACTCCTCTGCCAGTCGGTAAAAAGCCACTGTCCCCCCTCACCCCTGGGACCCTGGGCTTCCGCACAGCCCGGCTAGACCAGAGAATGACCTCAGAGGTCTTGGGTCCGGTCCTAAGTCTCTCTTCGATGGAGCTTGTTCTGCTTTCTCGGCTCCATGGGCTGGAGGAGGCGTGAGGTGCCTGGTCCCTGGTGGAAAAGAACAGGTGGCATTTGCTGGGTCTCGGCTTTCCTCGGGGATTTAGAGGAGACAGGTCACTATTAGCCAGCACGAGCCCCCGGAGACAGATGGCGGGCGTGAATGTCTGTGCTAGAGACCCCGGGGACAAGCAGAGCACAGAGGGGTCCCCCAGACACCCAGAGGGTGGCCCGCGACCACCCGAAGTCTCTCCACAATGACCCCAGACGGGGTCTGATGGAAAAACCTAACCAGGTGATGGGCAGTTGGCCCAGGAAGAGGTCAGAGGTCAGAGGTAAGAGGTAGTACACTTTATTTACCAGGCTCTCTCAATATCTCGTAACCCGCCCCGCAAAGCCAGACCCTGGGCTTCGCCACTGTCCCCTCCACCAATCAGGGAGGAGCACGCGTCTCCCGGACGTCCACAGGGCCTCAGAGCAGCGGGGTGGCAGGGGTGGGTGTGGGGAGGGGGCTGCCAGACGGGGGACATGGGGGTGAGGGGCTATAGCTTGGTGCCGGGCTGGGGATACCCCGAGGCACCGCCAGGCCTGGCCAGCCCCTCACTCCCCCGTTAAGGTTCGTTGTGGTTCACAGTGAGACTGGCTTAGACTTGGCAGGGTGTCAGGGGCAAGGGACAGACAGGCGCCTTCTACTCTCCCTACCCGCCCTGGGCCTGACTCACGGAGCTGGAAAGCGAGAGACAGAAAGTCCCCTCCCTGTGTCCTCCCTCGGGGACAGGGAAGCCCCTTCTCTCGAGAGGCCAAAGGGTAGAGGCCTAGTCCTCCCCTGACCTCCCCAGGCTCCTAGGAAGACTCAATCACTCCTGGCTCAGAAGTTTCTAGAACATCTCAGCGACCTTGCCCACCATTACTCCCAATTAGAAAAATGGTTTTGAAATCTAGGAGTTGACTGGGCCCATCAAACCCAGCGGTAAAAAACCTGGGAGGGTCTCGGTTTAAAAGGTGGTCTGCCTTCGGGTAGAGGCCAGGAGACCAGCCGTGTCTTCATGGCCCAGACCGGAGGGAGTGGCTCATGGCAGTGGGGGGTGGAGGGGGACAGGTCATGGGGCACAGAGCGGGAACCAGGGGCAAGATGCAGGAAGCAGTGACATGTGGGACATGGCCGGTTGCCTTCTAGTGCCGTGGGCCTGGGCTCGGGGGGCAGCGCCGGGGGGCTGCCCCTCACGGGCACATCTGCCAGGCGGGCGCCAGGGGCCTCTGCCCCACCGGGCGAGGGAGGGGCCGACGGTCAGGCCTTGGGACAGCCATTGGCCGGCGGCTCGTGGTGGCCGGCGGTGCAGTCCGAGGTGCGCTCGAGCCCCAGCATCTGCCGCTGCACCAGCTTGGCGTAGAGGCCGCCCTGGGCCAGCAGCTGCTGGTGTGTGCCCTGCTGTACCACGCGGCCACTGTCCAGCACCACGATGAGGTGCGCCCGCTCCACCGTGCTCAGCCGGTGCGCGATGATGAGCACCGTGTGCTTCTGCAGGTTGCCGTGGACGGCCTGCTGGATCTGGGGAGACAGGAGGGGCCGGCTCACAGGGGCGCTGCCTGGGCTGCCGCCACCCCGCCCCGTCCTGGCTGGGACCCCAGCGCTGCCACCGCCTCGCGCTGCTTCACGTCCCAGAGAGAGACTCAGCTCCTCGTCTGTAAAGCCAGGCCTTGCCCACGACCTGCTTCCTGGGTTTTTGCTCACGGGGGACAGAGCTGGTGCCCGGGGCACGAGGGAAGCACTAAGCGAACGGCAGACGGGCCCTGACCGGGTCGTCTTCCGGTCTTCCCGCTCCATCCTCTAAGCCTGGCCTTGGTCAGCGGTCTCGCCATCAGCCTCGAAGCTCGCGCCAAATCCTGCACACCCCGGCTCCCCAGTGTCTCGCTCTGCTCCATCTCTCCGCCTCTGCCACCATCGCCTCTCACCTGGAGGCCTGCGACCTCTGTGCCCTGCTTCCTGTCCATTCCCCACACGGATTTAAAAATTCTTAACCAGTTCTTGCTGAATTCCTGTTCCCAGGCCCCCAAGAGCTTCTTGTCCCGCTTAGGATAAAATGTAAACTCCTAGGGGAATTGTAGGGCTGTGAAACTACGCTGTGTCTGTGACGGTGCCTTTGTCAAAACCCACAGAACGTACAACGCAGACAGTGACCTCTAATGCAAACCACGGACTCTGGTCAGGGATAAGGCATGAGTATTGTTTCTCCACACCGCACGACACCAGTGCACGGTGTCGATGACAGGGGACAGACTGTTTGGGGTGGGGGGAGGGGACACATGGGAACTCCTTTTACTTTCTGCCTAATTTTCCTTAAACCAAAAACTGCTCTAAAAAATAAAATCTATTATTTTTTTTACAAGTCCAAAGTCCTGACCAGCACACGAGGAGCTTGTGGCTCCCTCCGACTCTGTCGCCGCCTCCCGCCCACCGGACGCACGGGCCTCCGGGCCTGACTGCGGACCTGCTCCGGGCCTCTGCACCCGCTGTGCCAAGATTCCCCACGGCTGCCTCCTCTCCACCCGGGTCTCGGCTCAAATGGTACGTGGTGATCCTGGTTCTATCGATGGGGACTGCGGACTGGGCACACGTGACCCCACCTGAAGCCTGCACTAAGAGACATCACGCATGGCAGGGCTTCCGTGTCATCCACCCTTGTCCTTGGGATGACCCCAGCCCCCCCCAAAAGCTCAGGGGCATCAGCTGTCTGTTCTAGCGAGCAGACCCCTGACTTCCCTCTCTCAGAGCGTTTATTAAAAAGGGCTTATAATTGTAAGTCCTTCCTCTGTCCCTTTGAGATATATATGTGAATATCCTAAAACTCAACAGGGTCTTTCTCAAGGACCTGAAAGCCGTTCCTTGGCAGGGTCAGCATCAAGGAGGACAGGGCCTCGGTCTCCTGGTCTCTGTGGGAGGACACGATCCTAACTTCAACAGTTGCCAGCAACAGACCCAGCTGGATCGACCTCATCCACACTGACCGACCCCTCTGTAAGTTTCCCCTCGAGTCCCGCGCCCTCCCCCGCCCCCCGCCCTCCTTCTCACTTTAAAACTCTGTCAATCTGCACAAAACTGCGGTAGAACTCATTTATTTCCCTATTATCAGGTCTGTTTCTGTTTTTTCAGCTTTAACTAACGTCTGGCCGCGTTTCTCTTTGACGGGGGTGACCCCTCGCAACCTCTCTGTCACGTGACCGTTTCGCTGTCTACGGAGCACAGACCACGGGGTGAACTCATGCCCCTGTCCTGGCTCATCATCTGTCTCCCCCTGGAATGGAGAGGCCATGGGGGCAGGGTCTTTGTTTGGCTGGTCAGCCGGCCACAGGACCTGGAACAGCACCGGGCACCCACGAGGAGCACAGCGAACGCCCACGAAACAAAGGAATCGGCCCATGGAGAGGCCGAGCGACAGATACATGGTGGGACCCTCTTTACCGATGAACATGAGGCTCCGAGAGGGCACAGACCGGCTCCAGGTACGAGCTGCAGGGAGCAGCTTCTAACCCACGTCTCCTGACTCTGACCCTGCATCGTGTCATTGTAGCTCTGTCGAGAGCCAGGAAGCTGGGTCCCCTCTCCACCGGCTCCCGCCCCCAGCACTGAAGCACCTGGACTGAGAAGCTGCCGGCCTAGGAGAGGCCCCGCGGGCATCCCTGAGCCCCCCCCAGCCCGTCTGCTAGGTGAAGGAGGGCTCCAGCCCCCGGGAGCTGCTCCTGTCACTGCGACTCACCAGGTACTCGCTCTCTGCATCCAGGGCGCTGGTGGCTTCATCCAGGATGAGGACAGGTGGGTTCCGCACCAGAGCCCGGGCCATGGCCACCCGTTGCTTCTGGCCGCCCGACAGCTGGGCTCCCTTCTCTCCCGTCTCTGAGGGAAGAGGCACGGGGGCGAGTGAGGCCGGGGCGGTCCTGGGGATGAGCTAGAAGCCCCCTTCCTCTGCCTTTCCCTGCTCTCCAGGAAAAGTGGCTAAAAGGGCCACCGGGGGGCTGCCGGCAGTTCGAAAACTCAAAAACTCGGGAAGGGATGCTCTCCCTCTCTCCCTGTTCACAAGAGGTATGCAAATTACAAGTATTTGCGATTGGTACCAAGATACCAACTTTTGCCTATTAATTTGGCAAAACATCCAAACGTTTGATAACACACCGTGCTGGTGCGGCTGCGGGGAAATGGGCACCCCGCCCCCCGCCTCCTGGGCACGCAGTCGGTGAGCCCTACGGCCTCCAGTGATGGGGCTGTGGCACATACTCCTCTACCTTTCAGTTTCTACTGTGCAAGTCTATGGATCCCAACTGCAAATGCACAACCCTTAGGCCAGCAAACCCACCTCTGTCAATTTTCCCCGGAGACCGACTTTCCCATGCACGGCAACGTAGGTCCATGATGTATGGCGACGCACAATTATTGCAAAAAAAATAACAAAGACAAAGAACCTACTCGAATGTCCATCGACAAGAAACTGAATACGTGATTTAGTAAATTATTATCCAGCCCCTATCCTAGAATACTGTGCAGCTGTTAAAAAGAACATAAGACCCAAAAGAAGTAGAAGGAAGGAAATCATAAAGATCAGCTTGGACATAAACAAAAGAGAGACTAAAAAAAAATAGAAAAACAATCAGTGAAACCAAGAGCTGGTTCTTTGAAAAGATTAACAAGATCGATAAACCTTTTCGCCAGACTCAAAGAAAAACAGAGAGTGAGCCCAAAGAAATAAAATCAGAAATGAAAGAGCAGTTACGACCTACACCACAGAAAGAGAAAGAATCCTCGAAGGATACCCTGAGCACAACATGACGACAAATTAAACAACCTGGAAGAAACGGATATGTTTCTAGAAATACACAACTTCCCAAGACTGAGACAGGCAGACACAGAAAAAATCTGAACAGACCGATGACTGGCAATGAAATTGAAGTGATAATTAAATAAACTCCCAACAAACAAAAATCTAGGACCGGATGGCTTCACCGGGGAAGTCTACCAAACATTTAAAGAAGAATTAATACCTAACCTTCTCAAACAAGTCTAAATAACTGAAGAGGAAGGAAAACTTTCAAACTCGTTCCATGGCCCTGATACCAAAACCAGACAAAGACACCACAAAAAAAGAGAAGGAAATCACAGGCCAGTATCTCTGACGAGCATAGACGCGAACCTTCCCAACGAAATAGTAGCAAACGGGACGCAGAGACCCACGAAAAGGGCGTACACCCCGATCAAGCAGGATTTATTCCTAGGATAAGGATCGTTCGATGTCCACAAATCGATTGAGATGCATCGCAAGAAAACCAGATTTAAAAATCGTTATGAACGTCTCCACAGAGGCAGAAAAAAGCATTTGACCAAAAAAATAAAAAATTAAAAAGCCCAAAGGCAGCTCTCTGGGCACCCACGTAAAGGTCGCTAAGATACTGTGTGAAGTTAAAAACCAAGCACAGAATGTAAGGTGCAGCTTATTTTCCGTAAAAGGATGAAAGGAAATAACGACGTATATTTGTTGTTGCATAAAGAAACTTCAAAAGGACATGTAAGAAACTAAGAAAAGTTTTGGTGGGAGAGGAGGAAACTGGGAGTAGAATAAGGGGTGGAATAAAACCTTTCCATTGTGTATCATTTTATACGTTTTTTCAGTTTTAGACCTTGTGAATAGCCCCTTTTCAAGAGTTAACATTTTAAAGTACATTAAATGTAATAAAATACACAATAGAATTATGGGGTTAAAACGTTTAAGGTAAAATATTGAGTTGTTAATATAAAAGTAAGTAACTGTAATTAATTAATATGTGCTATTTTTAAATAATACTGTTTTGGAACGAAATACGGGTGGTGGTCGGATAGTATAGTGACTATACTAAATGCTACTGAGTCGTTCACTTGAAATCGGTTACACTCAGGGAACGTGAACTTCGCCTGCAATGACGGAAGGCAGCAGGTGACCCCTGCGGTGGGGCGGCAGGCCGGCCAGGGGGCGTGCCCGGGCCCGGTACCTGTGTTGTAGCCGTCCTGAAGCTCCATGATGAAGCCGTGGGCGTTAGCCTTCTGCGCAGCCTCCACCACCGTCTCGAAGGGCACGGCGGGCAGGCCGTAGGAGATGTTGTCCGTGATGGAGCGGGCAAACAGCACCGGCTCCTGGCTCACCAGGGAGATCTGCGGAAGGGGAGGCATGGGGCCTGAGGGGCCAGGCGCGCGTCCGGCCAGCTGTTGCCAGGAGCCTCGCCAGCCCCCGGCCCGGGCCAACACCAGGGGTCTCAGGTCTGAAATCTGCCCGGGGCCTGCGGCTGGCTGCTGCGTGCAGCTGCCTCACGTCTTCCCACACAATAGGGTCGGCTTTCTGCACAAGCCAGCGGCCTCCCCGTACCCACAGACTGGGGCCCCCGAAGCCGACTGCCCTGGGCTAAGCCAGGTTCCCTGATCTCAGAGCGGGCTCACTGGCTGCCCTGTCCTGGAAGAAATCGAGAGAGAAAGAGGGGGTAGAGCGTTGCTCTGTGAGGGAGTCTGTCCTTGCCAGGGGGCAAGAGGCCACAGCAGGCCCCAGGCCGTGAAGACCTCCCTCCCTCCTGAGAGAACAATTTAAAGCAGGTGTTGTCCCTTGGTCTCCGTTTGAGGAATTTGGCCTACAAAAATGACAGCGTGGAGGACAGCATCGTGACACTATAAATAGCAAAACAAACAAACAAACAAAAATAATCCAATTGTCCATAAACTAAGGATTGAATTACAGTACGTCCAAAAAATCCAACACACACACGCGCACACACACACGCACACACACGCACACATACATGCACACGCACACACACACGCACACACACACATACACACACGTGCACACACACGCACACGCACACATACACGCACAGCATGATTCTATTTGTTTCAAAAACGATACACGTGCCTCGATACACTGATACATTTACATAAAGAAAGGAGACGGGCTGGAAGGGACATTTCCTGAACTGCTGGCCCCGTCACCTCCGTGGTGTGGGGTGGAGGGAGGCGACCCTCATGCCTTAGCTACGAAGTTTCCTCAACACGGGAACATGGTTAGACCTTCGCATTTTTACTGTCTGAGGTTTACGAAACCTAAAATTTTAAATTTAAGAGAAGGTACTCACAAAAGAGGAAATCCAGGCGGCGGTCTGTCTGTAACAGCCACCTGAAAAGGCGCTTAAGGCCTTTGGTCATGGGGAAGAAAATGCGAAAGACCACACCGAGCTCCCCACCACGCTCTCCAACTGGTGAGAATTCAGGACTGACAGCATGAGCCGTGAGCCGTGAGATACCTGTCTGAACGGCTCTGCCCAGGGGCCACACACCTGAGACCGCTCCCCGCCTCCTCCCGCTGGTGACGCGCACGTGGGTGGGCAGGTTTCACAGTCTGTGGCCTCCGCCGCTTCCCAGAACTGGAACCTCAGTGCCAACCCCCTGGCCCTCCCCTGGTTTAACTCATGTTAGGATGTAAGTGGCGCCCCCTTAAGAGCTGGTGTTACTGGTGCCGAGCACGACCTGCTCAGCCGTCCGGGGCGTCCCCGCCCTACGCTGGTGCAGGGTCGGGGTGGACACTCCTGTTCTGTAAGGGTCACCAAAAGCTGTGTGGTCCTGTCAGTACTGGACACGACTTTGTCACTCTCGCCCAGTGGAGCGTAAAGCGGTGCGGCCATCATCCTGGTGACAGAAACTATCACGGCAGTAACGACTGAAGTCGGCTGTGCGTCCTGTCTGGGGGGGGACACACCTGTGTACGCCGGGACGCATGAACAAACCGTCCACGACAGGACTCTCGGTGACAGTAAAAACCAGGAAACCACCCCAACGTCCATTAAGAGCAGAATGAGGAACTAGGGTGTGACGTGTTTACCCAGCGGATTATCTTCCAGCAACGAAAACACGGGGACCGACACCACGGCCTCAGCCTGCGTGACTCACGAGTCGCGGTGAGTGGAAGCGGCAAGACGCGGACGGGGACACGTGTCGTGACTGCAGCCGGGGGGAGGAACACGGCTGCGCCGCGTGGGGAGGCGCACGGGGACCGAGAAGCAAAGGACAAGCAAGAGAGGACGGGGATCGTACAAGTCGGGTGAGCCGCTGCTTCCGGGGGGACCTCTGGGGAGACTGCTGGGTGCCCGAATGCTCTACCTCTTGACCTGGGTGGTGCTGCACGGGTGGCCACTCTTTGAGGCTCTCGTCACAGCCCACGAGGGCGAAGCTCAGACACAGAAGGGCAAGGAGGGTGGCCCAGGCGGCCACGTACCACTCGGTGCAGGAACTTGTGGTCGTAGGCGCCGACGGGCCGCCCGTCCAGCAGCACGCGGCCCCCGTCCAGCGGGTAGAAGTTCTCCAGGACGTTGACGCAGGAGCTCTTCCCGCTGCCCGAGGGCCCCACGAGGGCGGTCACTTTCCCCGGGGACAGGCTGAAGGAGACGTTCTGCAAGGAACACGCAGACACGCCGTGGGCCGTCGGCTCAGACGCTCTGGCCCCGGACGCAAGCAGGCGCCCTGCCCAGCTCACCCCTGGCCCCTCTGCCACGCGTGGCTGGGCGCTGCCCGCTCCTCAGGCTCTCCTTTCTAGAATCTGGCAGCAGGTTCATACTTGTTTCCTCCGCCTGGAATGTTCTTTCAGCAGAGAGCCACCTGACTGGCTCCGACTCCTTGTTCGGGTCTCAGCTCAAAGGGCACCTCCTCCGAGAAGCCCCCTTGACTGTCACATCATCCCTGGGGACGACACCTACCACACCACCCTCCTGGTAATGATCGGTCCTCCCCGACTGGCACCCAGGCCCCGCGGGGCGGGGCCACAGCCTGGCGGGCAGCGGCCTGAGACACGGGATGAGGGGGAGGGACGGTCTGAGCAGGCCTCGAGCCCCCAACTCACCTGCAGGACTTTGGTGTGGGGCCGAGTGCGGTAGGTGAAGGTCACGTTCTCAAAGTCCACGCGGCCCTCCAGGTGGTCAGGGGCCAAGTTCCCATCGTGCACCATGGTCGGCTGCCGGTCGATGAACTCGAATACCTTCTCGGCGGCCCCGACTCCCTGCATCAGGCCACTGTAGACAGAGCCCACGGACTGCAGGGGGAGGAGACACAGGCTGCTGTCCCACCCGGGCCGCCAGGAGATGATGTGGGCGTGCGGAGAGCCAGGGAACGGCAGCAGTTCTGGGGGCGGGGGTGCAGGGCGCTGCTGGGGCCCCGCCAGTGGAAGAGCAGCTCGTGACAGTAAGGAGAAAACGAAGCCGGCCATGGCAGCGACATATGAGGAGCCAGGGCCTCAGGGTCTCCACAGCTAAAGCTCAGCACCACCCGGAGGAGGGAACCGGAGCACGGAGAAGGTAAAGGAAGCAGCCAGAACGTGCCAGAACGGGGATGGGACCTTCCCCTTCAGCCGCCAAAATCTCCATTTTAAAAGCGGGTCTTAATTTATATATCTCCTTGTAAAAAAAATGCACGTGACATAAACGTGAACAGAAACGACGGCTCGTTTCACTGGGCGCTTTGCGTGTGTCATGAGGCAGGTCCTATCACCATCCCCGTTTTGCTAATGAGGAAACCGAGCCACAAAGAGCCCAAGTAACTTCCCCCAGGTGACACGGCCAGGAGGGGGCCCAGCCTCTGTGAGCGCCTGGCTTCCCCGTTTGGCCCCTTAGGCTGTGACTGTGACCGCCGAGCGTCCTGGTTGGTGAAATGCAAGTAACGTGAGGACCAGTGTCATGGCTCTGTGAAGACAGTGCTGGGCGCAGATATCAGGACATTGCGATGATGATGGTGATGATGGTGGTGATGGTGATGATGATGGTGGTGATGATGGTGGTGATGATGATGAGGATGGTGGTGAGGATGAGGATGATGATGATGATGATGATGATGGAGATGATGACGGTGATGTTGATGGTGGTGATGGTGGTGATGACGGTGGTGGTGATGGAGATGATGATGGTGATGATGGTGGTGATGATGGTAGTGATGATGGTGGTGATGGTGATGATGGTGGTGATGGTGATGATGGTGATGGTGATGGTGGTGATGATGATGGTGATGATGGTGATGATGGTGATGGTGGTGATGGTGATGATGATGATGATGGTGATGATGATGGTGGTGATGATGATGATGACGGTGATGATGACGGTGATGATGGTGATGGTGATGGTGATGACGATGGTGGTGATGATAGTGATGGTGATGGTGATGATGGTGATGGTGATGGTGGTGATGATGATGGTGATGATGGGGATGATGGTGATGGTGTTGATGATGGAGATGGTGGTGATGGTGATGATGATGGTGATGATGGTGATGGTGGTGATGGTGATGATGATGATGATGGTGATGATGATGGTGGTGATGATGATGATGACGGTGATGATGACGGTGATGATGGTGATGGTGATGGTGATGACGATGGTGGTGATGATAGTGATGGTGATGGTGATGATGGTGATGGTGATGGTGGTGATGATGATGGTGATGATGGGGATGATGGTGATGGTGTTGATGATGGAGATGGTGGTGATGGTGATGATGATGGTGATGATGGTGATGGTGGTGATGGTGATGATGATGATGATGGTGATGAAGAGACCAGTGCTGCGTAGAAGCTGTCCTTCGCGCCCCTCACCCCAAGGGCGACCACCATGATTGCCTTGGTGGTGATGATGATGATGATGATGATGATGAAGAGACCACTGCTGCGTAGAAGCTGCCCTTAGCGCCCCTCACCCCAAGGGCGACCGCCATGATTGCCCGTGCACTGTACCTTGCCAGTTCTTTCTCTGTGTGTTCATAAACACGTGCACATACGTCGTTAACCTGGAGTTTCAAGAACTACACGAATGGCTCAGGCTATTGCCACTGCTCGGGGGTTTGCTCTTTCCCACCGAACAGCGTCTTCGGCTCTTTCTACGCCGGTGAGCGCAGAGCGACCTCGTTTCTGCAGCTGCCGTTGGTTGGCGTGGGGCACAGGTGTACTGCGTTTGCCAGCCCCTGGTCAGTGGGCGGCTGGGGGGGCGTCTAACCCTTCACTGTTATAAACAGTGCTGAGCCGATGGACGCACAGCTCTGCCCGCTGGGGTGGGAATTGCTGAAGCAGGTGTGACTGTGGCTAATGCAAATTGCCATCTGCAGCAGATGCTAACACCTCCCCACCCCCAGTCCTTGAGCGTCTTCACTGTAGGACACAGAGGCCCAGCCCCAGTGGCTGAGGGCCTTGGCGGGGGTGGGGCAAAGGCAGAGCAGAGATTTAGCACCCCCACCCCCAGCACCCTCCCTGGATGACTGACGGCTGCTCAGGCACAAACACCCCAGCCCCCTCAGGATCTGCTGGCGGCGGACCCAAGTGAAGACATCCTCTAAAACGACCCTTGTCTTTTCCACGGCACCTCGTGTTAAAGTGGGTTAACCGGGTCCCCACACACGTGGCGGGCAAGTCGCTTCACGTCTCTGAGCCTCGGTTTCCTCTTCTGAGAAACGGGAATGGGAACAACACCAGGGCCCCTCTATGTGCATTTTCTGAAATAATGTTTGTCGCTGCCTCTCGGCTCCATGAGCAGAGTTGCTGTCACTTTTTTATTATCGTTCCTGGTGTCATGAGGATCTCTCCCCTGCCTACTTCAGAAAGACGCCCCACATCCCTCAGACCCTGGAGTACCCCGTTCAGATCCCTCTCCCCGACACGTTCCTCCCTCTCCCCAGGACCCTCCTTCCCAAGCCAGCCCCTCACCTCCATGCAGTCTCCCAGGACGAACTCGTAGATGATGAAGGAGATGAGGTTGCCGCTGGTCATCTGCCCAGAGATGACGAGGTGGCCCCCGTAGTAGAGGATACTGACCTGGACCACCAGGAGTGTGAGCTGGGGGCAGAGGCAACAGGACACTTGGGTCAGGTAGGCCTTGACTCGGAACCCCGGCCCACCCCAAGGTTCCCAACCCCGCCCTCCAGGCTACTGGGGCAGGTGCGAGCAGCTGTGGGCTCCGTACGTCCAGCCGTACACGGACACTCAGCCAGCACAGTGATGTCCTCCCACATGCTGGCGCCCGTCTGGCACTCAAGCCTTCCCCTTACCCGCCGTGGAGTTTTCCTGCAAAGGCCCCCAGCTGGAGCCGGCTGTGGGCCTGGCCAAGAACAAGGCTTTCTTTGTAAGACTCTGGCACACACGGCAGCCCCCAAGCCCTCGGCTAGGCCAAGTGGAAGCTATGAGTCCTTGTCCTCGTTGGCATGAACGTGGCTCAGAGAGGTCGAGCCCACTGGCTAAGGCCGCACAGCGAGCCGGGCAGAGGGGGGTGGTGCAGCCTGTTTTCTCATCCCACCAGGTTCCAGAAAGGAGGGGCTGTGTCGAGGCACCCTTGCCTCCCTCCCCCCCAGGGCCTAGGGGAGTATCTGGAGGAGAAGTGGAACCTGAGTTCCCATTTGTCCCTCCCCACTCCAAGTCCGAAAGGCGCAGCTGCTGGTGGACAGACTATGACGAGGCTGGGCTGGCTGAGCTGCGTTTCCGGCCCCTTCTCCTCCCTGCCTGGGCCTTCCCAGGGGAGGCCTGCCCTGGGGGCTCCGGCAGCTCCTGTCCCCTGGTTCCCTTTAGACCACCAGCTCCTTTCCTCCTTTTCCCCGCTAAACGCCAAACTTTCGTCCTTCCTTAGCCCAGCTGCTCCTGACAAGCCCACCTTCCAGATGTGACCAAGTGCTCCCCATCCCCCAGATGGCACCTCACCCCCGTCCCTGGGGCTGAGCCAGAAAGTAATGGGGCATGTGCGCTCGGGACACATGACCTGCTGGAAAGGTGGGTCCCGGCTGGCCTTGGAGTGGCTCCCCGCCCCCAGGGGACGTCTCCCCACCCTGACACCCCACAGGCAGGCCCGAGGGACCAAGGGGGGCCTGACGAGGACATTCTCCGAGAGGCTGCATCCTTTGTCGGAAAGCTTCAGGGACAAGCAGAAAGCTGGACAGAGTAGAGCCACGCACAGGGACCCCCGATGTCGCGCCCCGCCCCCCAGGGGGGCCTGCGGCCCGGGGCACGTACCCCGCTGCCCCACACGTAGTAGGTGTAGGCGGCCGCCTCCTTCCTGTTCAGCTTGTACACCTGCTGCAGCTTCCGCGAGTACACCTCGGCCTCCGCCTCCTCGTTGGCGAAGCTGCGGACCGTCTTCAGGGCGCTGATGGTCTCCTCCGCGGTGTTGCTGGCCCTGGCCAGCGCGTTCTGGACCTCTTTGGAGAGCCTCTGTGGGCGGGAGGGGGACGAGGAGGAGACTCCAGATGGACACTCTCACTACCCGAGCCCCTAGGCCTCTCTGGGCTTTTCCGCCCCTCGCCGGTGGCAGCTCTGTGCGGGGATGACGGGGTACGAGCGAGCTCCCCGTCCTCCCCCACCGCCTTGTAGCTTGTCTCGAAGGACAGACTCCAGCTGCGTTCTTGGGGCGAGCGCCCACGGTTCCCGCTCCGGAGGGCTGGGGCTGACCGCTAAGTCATCTCCCGCAGTCAGAGGGGGTCATTTGACCACAGCTTTTGGAGACCCTTTCAGAACAGCAGTGTCCACCCCGACCCTGCGCTAGCGTATCGTGCGCGGCACAAGAAACGCCAGCTCTTAAGGGGGCGCCACTTACACCCTAACATGTGTTAAACCAGGGGAGGGCCTGGGGGTTGGCACCGAGGTTCCAGTTCCAGGCAGTGGCAGAGGCCACGGGCTATCAAACTTGCCCATGTCACGGGACTAGGTGGCTAAGAAGTGGCTCGAGGGTGCAACCCCCAGGCTGCTGCCCGCCGGTTCTGGACCTAGTCTCTGGGCAGCACCGTCTAAGCTTTGCAGGAGTCACCATACTCAGGTTCTCAAACCAGCCAGGAAGGTGGCCCGAGAGGCCAGGCCAGGACCACGTACGGGCATGTCCCATGATCTGAGTCACGGCCAGGCGCTGGAAGTGTGCAGTGCATTCAGCCCCCCAGGGGGCAGGCCACACCCTGAGCCAGGTCTGGCCGTGGGCGGCGTGTGTGGCTCATGGCCATGACTCGGAGCTACAGGCGACGTGTTCAGGTGTTCAGGTATGGGCCGAAGACCTCAGCGGAGCTTCCCGGAGGCCCTGCCTGCCTGAACTTGAGGCTGGGCCTGAGGTGCACATAGGGGTGGGGCTGTGCGGGTGCCGCAGGGTTTCCTGCCCGGTCCAGGGGCTGGCGGGAAGGCAGGAAGGGTGGGGCAGGGAACAGGAAGGGACTGGCTCCGACTCCAACCCATGTATTTACTTTTCCTGCTCAGGGAGGAAAACAGGGAGGCCATGGCCCAGAGCCGCGGGGCAGAGGGCCCTCCCAGGGTGGGCTCTGCCAGAGGGCGACACGTGGGCTGTGGGGAATGAACTCATTCTGGGCCTGGCCTCAGGTCACAGGCACCGAGGGTTCTTGCCGAGCTGGGGACACCGAGTCAATCACAGGTCAAAGTCCCATGCTCAGGAGGACCCATGCCCACTCAGGCCTGGACCCCTGGGGAAGGGGTCATCGGCAGCTGTCGGAACCCAACCTGGACCCCTTAAAAATCAGGGTGCCCTGATCCCGGCATGGGAAGCAGGCGGAGGGTGAGGCAGGGACCTAGCTCACGGGCAGAGGCAGCGCCAAGGGGCGGCCGAAGGGGGCGCAGCCTGCCCATCACGGCGTCACGGGCGAGGGCCTCGCTCACAGGGCCCAGGCACGTGCGCACACGTGCACACGCGCACACACGCCACAGACCGGGAGGAAACTGCGCTCAGACTGAAAACCGAGTGCTCGCAACGGCCGACACCGCCTGGCCCGTGGCCTCCCTGCTCACTCATCGCTCCGGCCTCCCTGAGGCACACCCGCACCCCAGGGCCTTTGCACAGGCCGTGCCCTCTGCCGAGAATGCGCTTCCCCGAATGTCCCAGACTTTACTCAAATGTCACCTCAGAAAGACCTATTTCAACTTCCAACCACGGGAGGGGAACGCACAGTGCAGTATATATGTGCCTTACTGTTAAATCGTACACCTGAAACTTACTGGATTTCGTTAACTAATGTCACCATAAAATATATATATACATATTTAAAAAAATTAAATTAAAAAATACAATAAAGTAAAATTGCAACCACCCCGAATCTCTTCCTCACTTCGTTTCTCTCCTTAGCATTCACCATCGTTTATATTACGTATTATCATTATAGCTGTTATTTATCGTCTGTCTCTCCCGCTAGAGCATAAACTCCCTCAGGGCAGGCGCTCTGTCTGCTTCGCTGATGTATCATGGTGCCTGGGACATCGTAGGTGCTCAGTAAATATCGACTGACTGACTGAACATGTGAACAAAAGCACACACGGCCTCGGGACGAGCCTTTCACTACCTCCTGGTGGCCGCCGAGCCCCTTCCGGGGGGTCCCTGGGGAGTGGTCCGTGCTCACAGGGCCTGGCAGGGACAGGTGAGCCTACCTTGTAGTACTTGCCGTAGATGTCGGACACCATCATGATGATGGGGAAGCCCATGAAGGTGACCAAGGAGAGCTGCCACGAGAGGCTGAACATGAAGACCACCACGCCCGTGACCTTGACCGTGTTCCGCAGGAAGATGTTGATATTCTGGGAGACCAGGTCGCTGACCATGGTGGTGTCCGAGGTGAGGCGGGAGATGAGGTCCCCTGGAACACAGGCCAAGGGGCACTGCGGGTCGGGGCGAGGGACCCTGAGGGGCACCGGGGAGCTCGGACCTCCCCCGCCTTCTGGGGGAGGTGAGGAGGGAAGGGCAGATGTCCCCTTGAGGGCTGCTCTGAGCCCAGCCCTTGTCACCAGCATCTTGTGACTTGACGTCTCATAGCAAAGCAGGCGGCTGAGACTCAGGGGAAGATGCTGGCTCAGTGCCACACGGTTTATCCGTGACTGAGCTGGAACCAAAGCCGTCCCCTCCCGGCTGCTGGCAGAGGGTGTAACTCCTCTTTTCCCTCACACGGGCTGGGGGCGGGGGCGGGGGCGCGGTGGAGAAAGGAGCCGGGACCCTTTACCAACTGGACACCAGGCTACGAGTGTCACGACCCCACGTGGTGGCTGCCACCACTGTTCCTACTTTAGAAATGAGCAAACAGGCTCAGAGAGGTTAAGTCCGTGATGTGGAACCAGAAACAGGGTCCGGCTGGCCTGTCTCAGGGCCCAGGATCCTGGCTGGATCCTGCAGTGCCTTCCCTGCTCTGCCCTGTGCCCTGGCCCCCTCCCTCTGCCCCCCACCTTCCCAGGAGCTGGGCCTCTCAGGCCACAGGCTTGGGCGGTGCTGGCCCCTGTGGTTCCCAGAGGGCAGTGGGAAGTGAGGCCTTGGCTCCTGCAGGGACCTCGGGTGGTCTGGCCAGGGTCCTACAGTGGCCGCAGGTCACGCCAAAACCTTAGCCAGCAGCCCAGCTCCCCAGGGCTCAGGCGGGGCCAGAGGCCCAAGGCCAGCTTCCCGGGACGCCTCCATCCTGGACTGGATGGCGGGAAAAGCCAGCTGAGCTGAGACCACGAATGTACCCGTTTATTTACTCAACTCGCGGCAAGCCCGCCCTGGCCAGGCCCAGCCCCAGGTCACCGGAGGCCCTGGGAGGACCAACCTGTGCGATTCTCGTCAAAGAAGCTCGTCTCCTGAGACACCAGCGAGCGGAAGAGACGGTTTCGAAGGCGAATGTTCAGTCTGGCAAATATGAGGGTAAAAATGCCTCCTCGGATACCTGCGGCAAACGAGCTAATTGCAGATAAGAGATGTTATGTATGGCACGACGTCCTTCCGACAACCAGCAGCCACACCCGCTGCCCCCTTCCGCTGCTGGAAGGCCCGGGCCTCTCACAGGCCGGGACCCCGGCCTCGAGCCCACTCGCCAAGGCTCGTCCCCTAGCTGGAGCCCCCAAAGAGAAGGCAAAGAGGGGGCGTGTTTGCCAAGGGCGAGGGACCCAGTTTGGCCAGCCAGACCCCTCTCCCTTCCGGAACAGCCCAGACAAGGCTGGCCCTTGTCACCCACTCGGAAAACAGGAGGGAGGGTGAAGGACCGAAGTCATATTTAGGAACGAGAGGGTGTGGCTCGAGGGCTTGGCTCAACCAAATGGACATTGGTTCTGAGCCAATCGACTGTTGGTGACCATGGTGACAGCCGAGGGACAGGCCCACTGAGGGTATTTCTTGGGTCTCCCTGGCCCATATTCCCCTTAGGAGTTGGCCCTGACCTCCCTCCCCTGCTGTAGGCCTGGGGGCTCGGGGGAAGAGCCGGCTACCTGCCGATGGCCAGCAGACACATGACAATGACGGCCGTGCTGAACTGCTCCATGCTCTTCTGGATGATGATGCCATCGATGGCCCGGCCAGTGTAGTAGGGGAGGAAGGTCTCTCCTGCCAGAAGACGGGACCAGCTCAGGGGGCGTCTGCACCCAGGGGAGCCCGTGCCCTCTCTCCCGAGCTGCTGGAAGACCACACCCCACCCGCTTTGCTCGCCCCACGGTGGACGGGGGTTCTCTCCTGGCAAATTCCTCCTCTCGCCATGGTGGGAGGCAGGGTAGGGACCCCGTTCTGTGTAATGCCCCCCCACTTGTCAGAGAAGAGGGACACAGGAAGCACGGGCCTGCAATCTGTACAGACCGGGTCAGAATTAACAACGGCCACCGGGCACTGAGCCACCGTGTCAAGCAGCCCGGTGACGTTTCATTCCGTCTGTGCAGACTCTGAAGCGGGTCCGGTGATTGCCCCGCTTTACAGACGAGGAAAGTGAAGCTGAACAGATGAGCCCATTTCAGAGGTGGAATGGGAGACTCAGAGAGGCTGAGCAACGTGCCAGAGGTCACACAGCAGTTCAGAGGAAGGACCAGGACTCAAACCCAAACCGGCTTCCAGTTTAGGGGACCTTTTGGGGGGACCTGTCCTCACTCCTTTTCTCGTGACAACCCAGAATGCCCGCTCTCATCTTGCAGAAATGCTGGGCGTGGAACGGAATGTGGTCAGGCCAGGCTGTGTCCCGTTTCCACGAGCCACGGCGTGGGGAGCAAGTGCTCCATAAAGGTCGCTGAATGGACCCCGGGCTTCTCCGCAGGACTGGCTCCGGCCGGGCGGCGAGGCCGTCCGCGGGGTTCTGGCGCCCTCTGCTGGGCATGGCACAGAAACGCAGGGTCTAGGGGACCTCGGGCCACAGGGTTCACGGCCAGATGGGGCCTCCAGCCACTATGGTGGCCTTCCACCAGAGCCGACGCTCCGCCTCGGTGTATCCACGGGGCAGGACCGGGCACCCGCGAGCTCCGGCAGCATTATGAGCCTGGCAGGCCCCAACGACAGCAGGTGACACCCCCAGCAGACGTTCACGGAGCCCTTCCCGGGGGCGGGCATTGTGTGAACACGGTCACAAACCCTCTGGCCGGAGCTGCACAGGGACCTCGTGACACTTGGCAACCCACCAGCGAATCCTACGGCTCCGCCTCCAACACGGTCCCAGAATCCGGCGCCTTCACCACCCTGACCGCTCCACCCGGTCCCAGCCTCGGTCTCGCCGGACCGCCCCACTGGGCTGCTGCCCATTCTCCCTGCTCCCACCCTTGCCCCCTCCGCCTCCTCACCCAGTCCTGTGAGGCCAAAGTCAGATCTCACCGTCCCTCCACTCAAACCAGTCCCTGGCCCCCATCTTGTCCAGGGTAACACAATCCTTACCGAGGCCCAGGGCACCCCGCACAGCCAAGTCTCCATGAGGGACCGGACTTCATCTCTACCCTCCCCCTTTGCTCACTCTGCTCCCGCCAGGCTGGCCTCTTCACTGTCCCTGTAACAGCCAGGGACCTTCCTGCTGCCCGACCTTCCTGCTGTGCCTGGAGCACTGTCACAGAGGACACCTGCTCCCCGATCAATCTCACAGCTCAAAGGCCTCCCAATAATCCTATGGGTGAGGTATCGTTATCACTCCCGCTCTGCAGATGAGGAAGCTGAGGCCCAGACAGGTTAAGTCGCTTGCCCTGGTTTACGTAGTTGGGTTGCCATGAAATCCACATTCAGGGGTCTCGATTTTGTAGGAGATGCTCAACACTCACATTAACCTTTTTTCCCAACGGGCAGTTTTTCTTTTAGATTACGAGGTGTCAGAAAAAGCTGGGCCCTCCCGGACGCTCAGTTGATTGGAAAATAATTATTAATAGTCACGGTGCCTAACTTTTATGAAGTACTCACGTTTGCCAGGCACCGTGCTTCATCCCAGCGAAGGCTGGCGGTGACCCGACAAAGCCTCCTCCCTTCATGAGAAACCGACGCTTGGCCGGGCTGCGTAAGCGTGAAGTCGGGGGCCTGATCTCAAGTTAGAGCCCTTAACTCAAGCCAAGCCCGCAGGTGGCAAAGTCTGCCCCGCTGTATGTTCGGGCATCTGTACTTCCTGAGCACACGCCAGCTGACCACAGGGCCGTGCAGGTGAGGAAGCGAGCTCATGGGGTGACATCTGCCCACTCAGGCAGGGGAGGGGGGTCGTTTGTCCGTTCACTCATTCATTCGTTCATTCGTTCAGTGAGCCTGCCTCTGTGCCAGGTACCTGGCCTCTGTCCCCGAGGGTCTCAGAGCCTGATAGGGGAGGCAGGAGAGTGGACACATGATTTTCATGTCACCGATGCTACAACTGAGGTTCAGACAAAGGGCCACAGTCGGTGAAATCTGAGAAGGCTTCTCTGAGGAGGGGACATTTGGGCCTTGAAACATGGGCAGGAGAAACTATCAGGATATATGGAAGGGATCACCCCAGAACTCACGGCCCCCGATGTTTACTGGGAGCTTGCTCCACGGCAGGAGCTATCCAATGGGGTATCTCACTCACACTGGCTCACCGACCCTCACCACCCCATGGCGATGGGCGCTGTTACTAACCCACTTCACAGATGAGCAGTCCGACACGGGGAGGCTAAGCAACTCACCTGAAGCCACCCCGGTTCGGGGGCCGGCACTGAGAGGGTGCGAGGTGGTCAGTTAGGGGAAAGGGGCTGCAGGACCGGGGCCAGCCCTGGGGTCTGCCTGTCCTCCGTGGGAACACTTGGGCTTTGCGGCCACTCCCAGACTCTGTCTCCATGAGTTCCATGTGTGACAGCTCGTGATGGCTAACATTCCCGAGCACGTACCAGGCTCTACCGAGCTCTAGACTCGTCCGCCTCCTGTTTTCATTCCGGCCTTACGACATCGCGAAATAAGCGCCCTGACGATCCCCGCTTCAGAGGAAGAAGCGGGGCTCGGAAATGTCCACTAGGTTGTCCGCGGTCACACAGCTAGGGCAGGAACGGGACTGGCCCCAAGCCCAGGCCTTGCTGTCCCCAGAGCCCACGGGGCTGCCCCCGCCAAGTCGCCTCCCCGCCCACGTTGCTGGAGTGACGTTTTCGAACTGTCGGCACCAAAAGCACATTAACGAATACACCTGGCTTCACGAAGCAGGACGCTTACACCACGGCACACGCGACTGAAACAGAAGTTTGAGGACACGATATTTAATCTCACCACCAACGCCACACTACTGGAGGTCTCTACGCTACTCTCTTCACGACAAAAAAAGCCTTCGCCTTAACGGTCTCAGAGAGCCCTCGCCCGGGAATGGATCCTACAGATCGACCCACGTTTTATGTGAACCATGTATGAGCAAGGTTATTTATGGTAAGAGAAAAAGACGGAAAATAACCTGAGAGTCCGACATCTGACTAATCGACGGTATAACCACACAGTGGACTATCAGGCGGCCAAGTAAAACAACAAGGTGCTGATTGGGAAAATTCCAGAATATACTGTTAAGTGGACAAAGCAAGACACAGAATAGAGTGTAAGAGACGGGACGGGTGATGTCCTATGGCTGCGGCCGCACAAAGAAACACCGGGAGCGTGAGCAAGAAACGGATCGCAGTGGGTTCCTGCCCGCTGGGAAGTTTCCGGAACCTTATAGTGCCCTGGGGGGATCGGGGTGGTCAGGGGCAGAACTGGGAGCGAACCTCTCAGTGTTTACCCTTCTGTACCAATGTGATGTTTGAACCACGCAGGTATATGTTAAAATGCAAGAGGAAAGGAGAGGGGGTTACAGCCCCCTACGCTGGTTTCCGGGGTGTCCGCCAGGCCCCGCGGGCGCGCACTTACCCAGAGCCGCCACGATCAGGAAGAAGGAGGCCGCCATGAGGAAGGCCACGTCGGGCTTGGTGTAGGACAGCAGCTTCTGCAGCGTGGCCCCGGACGCCTGCTCGGGCCGCGGGCCCTCTCCGCGGAAGCCCTCGGCCTCGGCCTCGGCCCCCGCGCCCGGCTCCAGGGCCTTGGCGTTCGGCCGCACAGTGGACAGCAGCCACCAGAGCAGGAAGGAGGCGGCGAGAGACACGTAGGTCCACACGAAGAGGGCCCAGAACCACGGGTCCCGCACCGGCTTGCGGACCTCGGAGAAGAGCAGCAGCTTCACCATGGCGTAGATGCCCACGGAGAGGCACACAAGGGCGATGGCCGTGCGCGAGGCCCGCAGCCGCCGGGGCCCCAGCGCGCTGTTCTTGGCCACGCCGATGGTGGCCCCCAGCAGCAGGCAGCTGCGGTACAAGCAGGCCGCCCACAGGTCCAGCACCGAGTCGAAGATGTTGAAATGGCGGATGTCCTCCAGCAGGCTGCGGTCCGGGTGGCTGAGGATGTAGATGGCCGTGGTCAGGCCGACGTCCACGCTCATGAAGGCCACGGCCACCACCACCGCCTTCCACAGCTGCATCGTGCCGGCCGGCAGTGGGCAGGCGCCGAGGGGCAGGCTCTAGCTCACGGGGGCAAGGCCATTGTCCGCCGGGCGAGGCTGGACCTGTCGGGCAACAGGGTGAGGGGTTCAGGTTGGCTACTTGCTGGCCGTGACCTTGGCATCTCTGAGCCTCAGTTTCCAGCAGAAACAGTGACAAGAGTGCTGATTTCAGGGGTGTTGTGAAGCCTCCACGCATTCGAGGGACATTTATCGAGCGCCCTCTGTGGGCCAGACTCTGTTCTTCGTGTCGGGGATTTACCAGCCACCGAAAATAACAAAGATTCTGCTGTGGCGGAGGTGACACATTCATGCCAGAGACAGATAATGAACATAAGTCAGCGACACAGTATGCTAGGGACAAGGACTGGGGGGCGGGGGGCAGAGATAAGAGTGGGGTTAGGAAATGGAGGGTCACGGGGTGGGGGGTGAGAGCGATTTCAAATAAGGGGGCTGGGGAAGCCCATGCTGCCAAGGTGACCCCTGAGCAAGACCGCGAGCGGCGAGGGGGTCCGGCAGGTGGCCATCTGGGGGGAACGGATTTGGGACGGGTGCAGCAGACAGCGCCAGAGCCACGATGCCCGTGAAGGAGGCAAGGCGGCCCCGTGGGTAGGGGTGAGAAGGCAGGGGTCTGGGGGACCTCGCAGGTGAAGCTGAGGTAAGCACAGAGCGCCAATAAATGGCTGCTGTCTTCACTGCTGCGACCGCCATCACTATTCATTCCGCCGAACCTGTTCCCTCATCTGTAACACGCTGGTGTGAACATCAGTTCTGGGCACAGTGCCTGGCACGTAATAAATAACTGCCACTGGTTATCTATCGCCATATACAGTAGGTACTTCATAAATGTTTGTTCACTTGACTCCTCCCAAATCAGATCTCCCACCTCCTCAAATAAACGTCTACCCTCTTAGACCGAGGAGGGGAGGCTGCAGGCCCGAAAGCGACCCGGGAAATATCCCATCTGCCTGGAAGTTTCCAGAATCTTTTTCTCCTCTCGCCCCAGCCCTACGCCCTTTTGGTTTTCTGGAGCTTGGTGTCCGCTTTGTCCAAAGCGCCCCAACATGGGGCCCCTCAGGACTCAGCCAGGGCCTGGGAGACCCCAGGAGCTGCAGGGCCCCTGCAGGACAGGGGCCTGGTGTCCTGCGTTTGGGGGCGGGGCTTGTCCGGGGCAGGAGCGGGATGGGACTGGGCTGGGGTGTGCCTCTGAGTGCTGCCTCTTGATTTGGATCTGTCCCTATCTCTCCTGGGGTCTTTCCTGTCCCATGTGCAAAACGGGCAAAGCTCTGAGTCCCCAAGTGGAGGGTGACTCCAAGCAGTGACTGGGGAGGGGAGCCAAGCCGAGAAACCCCCTGCCCCACAGCTCTGGTGCCCAAATTCAAGATGACTGACCTCATGTTCGAGAGTGACAGAAACCCCACTCAACCCCACAAGGCCCGTGTTTCCAAGTCCCCATTTATAGTCGGGGAAATTGAGGCACAGAGCGACAAAAGCATATGCCCCCTATCACTCCGCCAACAAAGGCTCGAGCCAGGACTTGAGCTATTGTGTGAAGGATCCCAGCACCTCCCTGCCTGGCACACAGCAGGCGCCTGATAAACTGCCAGCAAACCGTCGTGTGACAGAGCCCTTCCCAGGAGACCGGCCCCTCGCACGCGCCATGTGCTTTGTCTGCGTTCCCTTATCTCATCCGCCCCACAACTCTGTGACCTTCGCACCGTCATCATTCCCATCTAGCAACTGGAGAAACGGGGGCCCGGAGCAATGAATAACTCGCCCAAGAACACATGGCTGGTGAGTCGCAGAGCTGGGACTTGAACCCAGACCTGTCTGGCTCCAGAATCTGGGCTCGAAACTGCTAAGCTAAAACGCTTGTCAGTATGACAAGTGCTAGCAGGGAGTGCTCATCAGAGGAGAACAGAGGGGGCTCGGCCACGCAGAGCTGGTCACGACCACAGGCGCCTGATACGCAACGGCAGTAACAGCAACGGCAGTAACAGCAACTGACACTTACTGACGTTGACGTGCGTCTGGCCCTGTTCTAAGCGATTTATGTGCATTAATCCTCATGAGAATCCTATGAAGTAGGTTCTATTATTATCCCCATTTTACAGTTGAGAAAATTGTAGCACAGAGAGGTTGGTTAAGTGACCCATCCTAGGTCACACAGCTAAGAAGTAGCACAGCTGGTTGTAAATCCAGGCCATGGAGTGCCAAAGTCCGTGCTCTCAACTCTGAAGCCCTAAACCCTCAAAACAGCTTCTCTAGGAGCTGGCAAGACCCCAGTGATGCACAGGAGGGGTTGGAGAAGCAGGGAGGGCCCAGGGACACAAGGGTCCCCAAGCCTAAGCCCTGCCTTTACCCCAGCACTTCCAGGCAGACTCGAGTCTGTCCCAGAGGAGATGGTTGCCTTGTCGGCAGGTGCCCCTCCAAGGGAAACCAGGGCTGAGTGAGGCCAAGGGCAGGGGAGGGAGTGGGTGGTGGGGATGGGGGGGACAGACGCCCCCTGCCCAGGCCCTTGCTCCACCCTGCCCCCACTGGGCTGCCAGTGCTGCAATGCAGAGGCCTCGGGGAGCTAGTGAGTGAGCAAGTCCGAGTGGGAGCTCAGGGAGGGATGCTCTTGGCCTGGTGCCCCAGCAAAGCTCCTGGCCAAACCGCCGCCCACTGCCCAGGCCCTGCCAGCCGCCTCGGCCGCTGCTCCCCTCTTGGTGGGCAGAGGAGATCCCTCAGGCCCCAGAAAGGAGCTGAGGTTCAGAAGTAGGACAGGAGGCAGATCAGCCAGAGACCAGTCAGGTGTATGAATGGCTCTCCCTGCCCCCAGACCCAGTCCCTGGGGGAGCTCCTTCCTGGGACCCCTCCACTTTGGGGAATATCAACCCCATTGGACAGCCAGCCACTGGGGAGCCCGGTTGTTTATCTTCACTGGAATAAACTAAATTTTGCACTCTAGCATCACAGACTACCTGAACGGCGTTTTACAGGTAGGGAAACTGAGGTCCAGAGAGGAAGGTGACAAGGCTTGTGTTCGGTCACCCGGCAACTGGAGGCAGAGCAGCAGGAGCACCAGGGTCCCCAGCTCCCAAGTGCTGAGTCCTACTCCAGGCTCTGACAGAGCAGAAGCAACTCAGGTCGGGTTACAGCCCTCAGTGGCGGCAGGCTACTCTGTTATTTTAAACTTATTGAGCAGGAAGGTGAAGGGCACAAGACCACCAGCCAAGACCGTGAAGAGGGGAAGGTGGGGACCACAGGGCTCCTTGGAGGCCCGTGTCTGCTCTCCTTTCTGCCTGACCTGGGGGACACAGCTGGGTTCGGCCAGGTGGAGCTGGAGGGCAAATCGTGGGCATAAGCGTGACGTGTATGGCCGGAGGGACAAAGACAAGGTGGTGGCCAGAGGCCAGAGCAGGTACTGCCCAGGGCCTCACATGGCCCAGGAAGACAGAGGCAACTTGCCTTGACCCCAAATGCTAAGGAATGGCACAGGATTAGCAAGTGACCCCATCCCCATGCGGATCCTGTCAAAGGCTTTTCTTCCCAATAGAAAAATGGTGGTTGAAGCATCTCTAGCTGTCAGCTGCACAAAAGTCTGGAACAGCCAGGAGGTAATAAATAATAATCATTACTACGACCACAACGGCTACTGTTTATGGAGTGTTTCTAAGTGCTAGACAATGTGCTAAGTGCCTAGCACCTCTCAGCTCAGTCAGTCCTCACCACCGCCCTGGGTGGGAGGTCCTCAGAGTAATCCCCACTTCACAGGTGGGAAAGCGGAGGCCTGGGGGAAGTTACGTGACATGCAGAGATTAGGCAAAGGCAGGACTGAAAGCCAGCACTTCGCTCTGCCCAGGGACTGACAGAGAAGCGTCCTGCAGGGTCTGCGTGGTCCGAGCAGCTCAGTTCACCCCTAAGTCAGTGAACTTTTTACCCCAAAGTGGTCATGCATTGCCCAGTGGTAGAAAGGCCCATTCACTGCTCAGCCAGCACCGGCTAAGGCCAGTTCTGTGGGATGATGAGATCGTGGGTCTCGGGATGCAGGGCAAGGGCTGGGCTGGGTCCACGTTGCTCCAGCCTCACTCTGGGACTCACTCAGCCACATCCCACGCTGGGACTCAGGGAAGTCGCCCCAGGTGAATCGAGGCTCTAGGTGAGGTGAACAAGGAGCTCCCCTGGCCTTTCTACAAGCCTCCTCTTGTCACCTGGGACTGGCCCCATCTAAAGCCAGGGAGTGGAGACCAGCCTATCTCCAGGGGGTGGGAGAGTGGACAGAGAATCCTGTCGGACCAGCTTAAAGCTACTTTAATTAACGTCAGGCCTGAGGAGGGGCACCCTGTTTTAACAGAGGCCCAGAAATTAGAGAGATCCCCTGGCGACCCACAGGCCTAACTGCGGGGCCGGGGGTGGGGGGGCGATGCATGACGAACATGAGGAGCATCAGCCCATTGGCCAGGCAGGGAGACTGAGGGAAGGGGTTTGCCAGGCTTGGCAGGCCCAGGAGGCCCCCAGGCTTCTGCCACAGTGGGTGCTCAGGATGTGCCGGCAGGCCCCACTGTGGGGTATGGGGAGTCCTCGGAAGATGTGCCCATCTGAGCCAGCCATCCCAGGATCCTCCCCAAAGGCACTCTACCATTTTCCAAGAGGCAGCAGCGACTGAGGGGTTAAAAAAAATGCAACATTCGCCCTGCGGGCGTAGAAAGGATTCTGCAGGATGGGGCGCTGGGACCTGCAGCTGCGGGCGTGGGATACAGGGATGGGTCCAGGAAGGCTCCCAGGAGGCTTCCACCCTCAACAGAGATGCCTACTCCACCCCCGGAGCAGGGAGCTCCAGACGGCCCCCCAGCCTGTGTGCCCCGCTGGTCACCCTGGCCTGGGAAGGTCCCAGGTCGGGGGTCTCGGGCGCTGCGCTCTTACCTGTTGCCTTACCTGGCACCAGGTGAGTCGTGGGGAGGGGGCGCAGCGGGCTCGGGTCGTCAAGGGAGCAGGCTCCGCGCCGCTCATTGGAGACTGCGCCCGGCACTGAGCTCGCTCGGCTCCTCCGGCAGCTCCTCCCCGCCTCCCGCCCCGGCTGCGCAGCGGCAAGGTCGCAGCCGAGCGGGTTGTTACAGTTTTAAAGGGTAACACTCGAAGAAAAAAGATCTATGGGAAAACTATAATTTCATCTTGGTTGTATATATATATTTATTTACCATACTGGTATTTTTAGTGAACACTGCATCAGATATGTAGGGAAGGAGCAAGATGTTCCAAAAAATTGTACTAAGGTATTCTTGGGTTTTCCAGATCAA